TTTGATATATGGATCTTATAACACAACGAAAGTGACGAAAAGTGTGTTTTTTTTTTTATTTTATTTTGGTATTATTGTTTACGTTGCATGATTATTTATTTTTATACTAAAATGTTCATTTATACTGTTCAAATTGGAAATAAAACTATTCTTATTCGAAATGTTTTTATAATTCCTAGAAATTATTTTATTTCCCGACTTATTTTATAATTTTTGTTGATATAGTCGTTACTCGATTTTCTTGGTAAATTTTGTTGATGCACTTATGTTACGAGATGCATGAGTTCCATGAACACAAAAGTATGATTGCTCTGTAGTTTCTACTTACCAACTTTACTTTAATCGGGTATGTCAAGTGATACACACTTGACATACATGACATACATGTTTGTTTGTAACAGGCAATTCAAAATCTTTATCCACAATAATAAAATTCACAACTCAGTCTATTATTTTTCTACCAACTTAGGGTTAAGCTACTAGGGTAAGTATACTATAAGAAACAAAAGAAATAAATTAATCAAGCGTCCCTCCCCAATGTATCTTCGTTAAGGTTGTATTTCAAGTTCAAAGTGACGGGAGGAGGAAATCCAAGTCCCTCTCAATGCATAAATCATTGGGTTAAAGCCACTATAGGATTTTTTCAACATGAACATCGTAAAAACAGTTAATGACTTAGGAGGAGATAGGTGTATTATTAGCAAAAGTACCTATATCAAAACATATATGTTTTACAGTCCGGTTTTTCAAAGTAATATTTTTTTAATGTGATTAAACTGTCAAACACCGAGGTCACCGGTGACCGCAGCCTATTGTTCTTTAATTGTGTCTATAATGACGGTACTCAAAAGGTTAAACTAATGGTGAGTTTACTGTCATACATTGGACGGTATTCCAAACTTCATAGTTATAATTATTCAGAAAACATCATCAATAGTAGGAGAGCCCATGAAGGGATTTCGGTAGTTACTCGAGCGCGTCAGATTAACATATGGGGAAAACCTAGTGTCATGTTGAATATACCCAACATATATCCCATCTGATTAGAAGAGGGGGACTGAAAATTAAAAAAAAAATCTGACTAAATAAAGTCAGTTTCGTCATTTTTTTGGAAGGTCAATACCGTGCTAAAGGAAGTGCGTTTAAAAATCTGCCCATTCCAACTTTTTTTGCAAGAGGGGGGGGATTTTGAAGGGTTCCCGTTTGTACTCTCCAGAACATTCAACCCCACCATGCAAACTGGCAGATTAAGAGTTTTTTATTATTAAATACACATGGAGCATGTACATTATCAATATCTGACACGCTCGACCATTAGAACAAAAGTTACGCTTAACAATTTCAAAGATCTGTAGATTCCCCCTTTCCCCACTGGTGGAAGAAATTGTCACTAAACCATTTCTTCTTTCTATCAGCATATCTTCAAAATCCAGTAGGTCCCAAGGACGCTCAAGTAAATCCCAATTTAGCATCGTGGGCTCCCCTACTACAAGTATAAGATACAATACAATATGTACCTACTAAAAACAAGATAGAGACTTAATGACTTGATATACGTATACTTTAGTTATTTACTTTGTGCCTTCGACGGAGCATGAGTTATTTCGGACGTATAGTGAGGGGGAAGGCAGATTTCCACCCGATGTTTTCTTTCACCGTTTGACAGTGGTGTCTAAAGAATCTTAGAAAGTACATATAACGTGCAAAAAGTCACTTTAGACTAGTTGTTAGTAGGTTTTGACGTCGCTCCCTCATGCACGAAACACCACAACAATGTTTGTCGAATGTGTACTATATTATAGTCTCCTTGTCCGCTTTGATGATATACCCACGTGAATAGTAAGGGTGTTGACAAATGTATTTCTGATCCACTAGTTTCATTTAGATGTAGGAATCTAATTAAGTTATTATAAGTGTGGGAGGGGTATGCTTCGGCACGAATGGGCCAGCTCGACCGGAGTGATAGGCCACAAAAATCAACGTGAAACAACGCATCAGTTGTGTTTCTTGTGAATTGTGAATATGCACTGCACGGTTGGTGCGGTAGCTGGGCAACCGGCTGCCGTGCAACGTGTCGCGGGTTCGATTCCCGCACGGAACATCACTTTGTGTAATCTACAAATTGTTGTTTCGGGTTTGAGTATCATTGTGTATGTGAACTTGTATGTTTGTAAACGTACCCATGACACAGGAGAAAATACTAATGCGGGGCAACGATTTTATTTAAAAAAATAAATGAAAAAAAATGGGAAACGGAGGCGCGAAGGGCTAACTACCTTCCCCAATCTCCCAATCCCTGAATCCCCAACAATCCTCAAATTCGTAATCCCCGCAAGGCCGATAACGCACTTGTAACGCCACTGGTGTTCCAGGTGTCCATAGGCAACGCCGATTTCTTATCATCAGGTGATTGACCTCGTTTACCAGCTTATCACATAATAATTTGTCTCAGTCATTTCATATTTATCAAGCCTTGACAATATAATATGTATGTACAAAAGTGTTATTCTATACTCCTTCTAATCAAAAACACATGACGTCATCGCTGTTCATTAAAAGAACATCGGCTTCGAAAAACAATCTACTTGAGAAGTTTCTAGAAAAGTCGTTCACATTCTAATTTTAAATCGATAATAATCATATTAAAAGGAGGTTTTATTTGTCTAAAGAATATTTTTTAGATCTTATAGCATAATAATATGTGCTTCATATTTTTTTTTTAGTTTAAGACCTGTGTAGGTTAGGATTGTCGACTATGAAAACAAAAGAACATAAGTGAACGAGCGATTATTCTGTGTACATAAGTTAGGCTGAGTGTATAATATAATTAACTGAAAATAATAACTAATATCAAGAAAATAATAAAATAAATGTAAATTTTATGTTGGTTTCCTCATGATATCTTTTAGTTTCTGCCAACGGTTTCGCCAGTATTCTCGTGGCAAATAACCTTACGTGTTAATCCAAACTATAATCTACCCTAATTCCAAGTTTCATCGCGATCCCTTCAGCCGTTTTGACGATATTGAGTAACAAACAACACACACAATCCAGCAACAGCAAAACTGTAGAATGATCTGTTGTCGGCGGTATTTCCGAACTGATACAACCTTCAAACCATCAAGAAAAGAGCGTATTCCTTTTTATTCCTTATACAGTGAAACTTGGTTAAGTGGGACCTGGATAAGTGAGAAACCTACATAACTGGAACTCATGCTGAGGTCCCAACTCTTTGGCACTAAATTACCTCTGTTAGTGGGACCAGGTAATCCTCTATATCTGGGATTTGTTCTTTCGATTTATTATCATAGTTACCTCTATAACTGAGACAGCGAGTAAATTTTATATGCATAAACCTCTGTAACTGAGATATCGTTTGTTTGTTTACTCGTTTTTATTCTACCCACAAATTCCACACGTAATTCGAGGTCCACCTCTGTTAATGGAACCCTCTGTAAATGAGACAGATATTTATTTATACCTGTGTATCTGAGACACTGGGTAAGTGGAATACCTCTATAAGTGAAACGACATTGTAGGTCCATTGATGTCTCACTTAACCGGGTTTCACTGTATTTATTCCTTATATGTAGAGGAGGACTATGACCTAGCAGTGGACCATCATAAACTGATGCTGATGATCACTAACTAACATATCTATTGAGAGGTTGAAAAAAATCGATACTTAAC